GGAAATACATTTAGGAAATCCCTCACTACTGGAACTGACTCAACTGTTGGGGTATCAAAACTAACATCTCTCACATAAGCTAGATACGCGTCACATCCCTTCTCAACCATTCGTTGAGCTTTAAGAAATGAAATAACTCTGCGGGGAGTATACTCTAAGGTACCTCTCTACTCTAATTGCGGTATGCTTGGCATAGCCAGCGTCACGGTCTTAGCGTGATAATCAAGAATAGCATAATGGGGCGACAACCAGTCCATGCCCAAGATAACATCAAAATCTACCATGCTAACTAATAATAAGTTGGCTCTGGTCTCAAAACCACTCAGAGCAATCAAACATGACCAATACATGCGGTCCACAATAAGAGAATCTCCCACAAGAGTAGACACATAAATAGGGGAACTCAAAGAATCTCGAGATACGCCCAAATGTGGGGCAAAATAAGAGGAAACATATGAATACATAGAGCCAGGGTCAAATAATACCGACGCATCTCTATGAAAGACTGGAACAATACCTATAATGACAGAGTTGGAAGCAACTGCCTCTGTACGAGCCGGAATAGCATAATACCTAGCCTGGCCTCCCCCTCTAGGGCGACCTCGACCTCCCTGACCTCCACCTCGAGCTGGCTGAGCAGGTGGGGCAGTAGCTGGTGCTGGAATCATAGCTTGAGGATTCGGTGGAGCACGTAGTGGCTGAGAAGTCTGTGGAGGTGCAACCCTCCTAAGTCTGGGGCAATCCCTCACCATATGGCAGGTGTCTACACACTCAAAACAACCCCTCGAAAGGCGTGGCTGCTGTGACTAATTTGGGCCAGGTCTACTGGACTGGCCGCTAAAAGTATCGAGCAGGAGGCACACTAGATACTGGCAGTGCATAATAAGGCTCTTGGGGCCTAGAAGGGGCTGGAACACCACTAGTGGCTGGAAGAGCTGAATGAATGGGGCAACCCACATAACCCTTACCATGGAGGGCTGCTGGGGCATGAGCTCTAGAATAAGAACTAGTCTCTCAAGACCTCTTGGCCTCTCTCTCCTCTCGGTCCCGGGCAAGTATGCCCTCTAATCTCCTAGCAATACTCACAACCTACTGGTAAGAAATATCCATCTCCAGCTCCCTAACGATACTAATCCTAATACTGGGGTGGAGTCCCTCAATAAATCGTTGAACCCTCTCTCGAACTGTGGCAACCAAGGCCGGTGTATGTCAGGCCAAATCACTGAAGTGGACTGCATACTCTGACACAGTCATAGCACCCTGGCGCAACTGCTCAAACTCCGCGCGCAATGAGTCCCTGAGGCTCTGAGGGATATACTCTCTCAAAAACATGTCCGAGAACTGAGTCCATGTAAGTGAAGCTGCCTTATCCGGACTACTCAACTCATAAGCACGCCACCGCTGATAGGCTGCTCCTCTAAGTTGGAGAGTGGTAAAAGAAACCCCACTCATCTCCGCTACATCCATAGTACGGAGAATATGATGACACTCCTACAGAAAATCCTGAGCATCATATGTAGCCAATCTGCTGAAAGTAGGTGGGTGGTACTTCTGGTACCTCTCAAGTCTAAGCTACTCTGCCTCAGAAGCGGTTGTCCTAGTCTCATGCTGAACCAGAGCTACTGGCGGCATAGGAATGAATTCTGGGGCCTGATCAACCTGGGCCCTCTATTTAGGAGTACGGGCTGCGGGAGTCTGTGCCCCTCCCCCGGCCTGAGATGTGGCAGGAGCTAACGGAATCAATCCAGCCTGAGCTAAGGTGCTGAACATGCTCATGAATTGGGCTAGAGTCTCTTGGAGGACTGGTGCATCAATAGGAACCTCTGGTGCCTGCCCTCCAGCTGAAACTGCTGGAGGCTCCTTTGTCGTAGCTCGCGCGGGTGCTCTGGCTGCACCGCGTGGCCATACTCTACCCCGGCCCCAGCATCTGGCGGCTCTAGCAGGGGGCACGGGTGCCTGGTCGTCAGATCCTCTGGTACGGGTCCTCACCATCTGTGAGAAAGAATAGAATAGAGAATTTTTAGAATTTGATGCCAATAACTCGGACGACAAGGAATCAAAGAAGTATGTTTTTTCCTAACAGTTCCATAGCCCCCCCGAAGATAACTACAGACGTCTCTGTACTGATCCGAGAGACTCTAATAAACCAGCTTGTGACTCACAACTCCTATGAACCTAGAGCTCTGATACCAACTTGTCATGACCCAATTTCTCCCTCCGTGAACCATCGTGATGACACCTAGTCTCTATGACTAGGTAAGCCTAACACTTTTGCGGAAGTGAAACTAAAGCATGAACATTAACTACTAACAGTAACAAATATCTAATAAGCAATCGAATGCCACTCGGCATATACAATTATCACCTCTGAAAATGTACAAACAATTTCCCAAAACCCGGAATACCGTAAGTCACAAGCTACTAAGAAGTCTTAACCATTCTATACATCATTTCTATAGAGAGAAGGAAAAATAAACATAGGGGGATAGAGGGGTACTCCGAGGATCTGCGGGCGCAAGTAGATGTACCTTGAAGTCTCCAATAAGCAGCAACGACTGCAACTAGTGATGAGGCTTGTAAGATGAACCTGGATCTGCATACGAAAAACATGTGCAGGAAAGGGCGTGAGTACACCACAACGGTACCGAGTAAGTACCAAGCCTAACCTCGGTCGAGTAGGGACGAGATCAGGTCAGGGCCCTACTGGTATAAATATAATGAAATAAGACATATTGAAATATCGCAGTAAAATAAATACGGAAATCTAACAGGAATAGAAGCACTGAAAGACAATAGCTCAGAACATAGTGATAACAACAAGGGATCTCCCGAGATACCATCTCGTAGTCCCAAATGTAAATGTGCAGGGGGATCTCCCGGAATACCGTTCTGTAGTCCTAAAATAAATATGCAAAATAGGGGGATCTCCCGGAATACCATTCCGTAGTCCCAAAGTAAATATGCAGTACAGGGGGATCTCCCGAAATACCATTCCGTAGTCCCAAAGTAAACATACAGCGCAACCAACCGAAATAACAATTACAGCAAGAAATCCTACAGTTTAGACTAAGTTCAAGTCAAGGAAAGTAGGTAATTTCACTACACATGTTGCACAGAGTCCAAATAGGCAGTTAAATAAGTAGGCATGTTATTCTAGTCTAAACAGGATAGTTACATATGCTAGTGTATTTCAAATAAGGAGAAACCAAGTTATGACTTAGTGAAAAAAATGGAGTTTTACAACAGATAGCCCGCGTACATACTAGTCACCTCACGTACACGGCGCTCACATATCAAACAGTACCAAATCCTAAGGGGAGTTTCCCCCACACAAGGTTAGGCAAGTCACTTACCTCGAACAAAGCTCAAAATCAATCCGTCACATTGCTCTTTCCACGAATATCCGACTCTGAATGGTTAAAATCTAGCTAACACCAATTACATAACATAAATATAGCTACAAGAAACTAGTCTAGCTAACCAAATCAAAGCTAAGGCAAGAAATTAGAAAAATGCCCAAAAAGCCTCCCCGGGCCCATGCCTCGGAATCTGGTAAAAGTTACCAATTAAGAACACCCATTCGCTCACGAGATCACTAGTACCAAAATTATCCAAATCCGATGTTAAATCCCACTCAAAACGGATAAATTCGGTTGGGGAATTTTCCCCCTATTCTCCCAACTTTCCCACTCAAATTCCTTAATAAAATGGAGAAAACGACTATAGATTAATGAAATACAACCAAAAACATGTTAGGAATCGTTATCCCAAAGATTTCTTTGAAAATCTTTCAAGAAATCGCCTTCTCCCAAGCTCAAAAATCAAATTTGAGAATATGAACCTCAACCATCGATTCTGCCCCTTTTTTCCCAACGATCTTCGCACTTACGGGCCATGGGTCACACCTGCGACGCCGCATCTGTGGACAATCTCTCGAAGGTGTCAGAGATCACTTAAGAGGGCTGGGTCCGCATCTGCAGCAGTGTGGGCCGGTCCTACGCGTGCGTGCCTGCGGAACATTGTCCGCTTCTGCGGTCTTCCTCCATGCCTGCAAATCCTTGGGCGCATCTGCGGGCATCGCAAATGTAGAAATTCCTCACACCTACGACCGCTGGTCAAGCCTCCGAAATCTGCATCTGCGCCTGTTCCTCCGCACATGCGAGCCCGCACCTACGGTCTTCCCTCCGTAGGTGCGAAACACCAGAACCAGCAAAAACTCAGCAACTTCCCTAAGTCTAAAATTCATCCATTAAGCATCCGAAACACACCCGAGACCCCCGGGACCTTAACCAAACATACCAACCAATCCTATAGCACCATACAAACTTAGTCGAGCCCTCAAATCACATCAAACAACGCTAAAATCATGAATCACCCTCCAATTCAAACTTAAGGAAACTTGAAACATCCAAATTCGACAACCGATGCCGAAACCAACCAAACCACGTCCGATTGACCTCAATTTTTGCACACAAGTCATATTCAACACTAGGGAACTACTCCAATTTTCGGAATCAGAATCCGACCCCGATATAAAAAATTCCACTACCGGCCCAAAACTCTAAAAAATTGATTTTTTTGCCATTTCAATACTAAATGAGCTACGGACCTCCAAAACACAATCCGGACATGCCCCAAAGCCCAAAATCACACAGAGAAGCTAACAAAAATGACAGAATTCCATTTCGGAGTCGTCATCACACAGTTCCGACTACGGTGCCAATCCTAAGGCTTAAGAATTCCGTTTAGGGACTAAGTGTCCCAAAATACTCCAAAACCAAAACGAAACCTCCCGGCAAGTTACAATAGCATAAAAAGATACGGGGGAAGCAGTTAAATAGGGGATCAGGGCTATAACTCTTAAGACGACCAGCTGGGTCGTCACATGACTAATGATCCAACTATTATGGATCTTATGAATAACGTGTTTAGGCCTTATCTAGACCTGTTTGTGATAGTGTTTATTGATGATATTGTGGTATATTCCAACTATGGGTCAGAATATGTAGATCATCTACGTACAATATTGGGTATCCTTTGGGACCAGAAGCTGTATGCCAAATCTCAAAGTGCGAGTTCTGGTTGAGTTCCATAGCATATCGTGGACATATAGTATCATCAGAGGGTATCAAAGTTGATGGTCAGAAGATAGAGGCAGTGAAGAATTGGCCCAGGCCTACGACGCCACCTGAGGTATGTAATTTTCTGGGTTTGGCAGGGTATTACAAGAGGTTTGTAGAAGGGTTCTCTTCCTTTACAGCGCCACTGACTAGATTAACATAAAAAGCAGGCAAATTTTAGTGGTCGGATGAATGTGAGCGGAGTTTCTAGGAGTTGAAGAATAGGTTGATTACAACTCCGATTCTTACACTTCCAGAGGGATCTGAGGGTTATGTTATTTACTGTGACGCTTCTCAGATTGTCCTAGGTTGTGTGCTGATGCAACACGGGAAGGTAATTGCTTATGCTTCCAGACAGTTGAAGAAGCACGAGCAGAATTATCGTACACATGACTTGGAGCTAGCAGCGGTTATTCATGTACTGAAGATTTGGAGGCACTATCTCTATGTCGTTCTTGTTGATATCTATACAGATCATAAGAGCCTCCAGTACATATTTAAGCATAAGTAGTTGAACTTGCATTAGAGACGGTGGTTAGAGCTTTTAAGGGACTAGGATGTTGACATTCTTTATCATCTAGGTAAAGCTAATGTTGTAGCTGATGTCAGTCGTAAGTCCATGGGGAGTTTAGCTTACTTGCAGCCTTAGAAAAGGGAGTTAGCTCATGAACTCCATCAGTTAGCCCGTTTGGGAGTTAGATTGATAGATTTAGAGGATGGAGGAGTTGTAGCTCAGAATATAGCTACCACTTGTTTAGTGATTAAAGTGAAACAGAGGCAATATGATGATCCAATTCCAATTGAGTACAGTCAGGTAGCAAGGAAAAAGAAAAGTCCACCTTACAAAGTTACTAGCGACGGAGTCCTCAGATATAAGGATAGGCTTTGTGTTCCAGATGTTGCAGGGTTACACAGGCAAATTATGACAGAGGCACATCATTCCAGGTATACCATTCATCCAGGCTCTACTAAGATGTACCATGATCTTAAGCAGATTTACTGGTGGGACGAAATGAAACATGACATTGCAGAGTTTGTGGCCCAGTGTCCTAACTCCCATCAGGTAAAGTTTGAGCACCAGAAGCCTAACAGTTTGTTACAGGAGATAGAGATCCCAACATGGAAGTGGGAAGTAGTGAATATGGACTTTATCACAGGCCTGCATTGTACGCGGACTAGGTATATTTCTATTTAGGTTATAGTTGACAGGATTATCTAAATAAGCTCATTTCTTGCCTGTTAGAACTACATATACAACAGAAGATTATGCCAGATTGTATATCAGGGAGATTGTATGCCTCTATGGTATTCTAGTATCTATCATTTCAGATAGAGGCGTAAAGTTTACAGCTAAGTTTTGGCGATCATTCCAAAAAGGTTTGGGGACGCAGGTGAATTTGAGTATAACTTTTCATCCCTAAATAGATGGGCAGGCCGAGCGAACCATAAAGACGCTCATGGACATGTTAAGAGCGTGTGTGTTATATTTCGAAGGCAACTGGGATGGACACTTACCATGGATAGAGTTTTCATACAATAACAGTTAATTTTTTCCAGCATACAAATGGTTCCTTATGAAGCTTTGTACGGGCGCAAGTGCAGATCACCCTTAGAATAGTTGGAAGTTGGTAAGTCTCAGTTGATAGGCCCAAATTTTATCAAACAGGCAGTGGATAAGGTTAAGCTGACCAGGGAGAGATTGCTAGCAGCCCAGAGTCAACAAAAGTCATATGCAGACAATCGACACTGAGATCTAGAGTTCCAGGTTGGCTATTGGGTTTCATGAAGGTATCACCTATGAAAGGCGTTATGAGGTTTGGAAAGAAGGGAAAGCTTAGCCCTAGGGATATAGGTCCATACCAGGTCATTAGACGAGTTAGTCGTGTAGCATACGAGTTGGACCTTCCAGCAGACCTTCAGGAGGTACGTTCGGTATTTCATGTCTCCATGCTTCGACAATGTGTTAGAGATCCTTCCAGAGTTGTACCAGTTGATGATGTACAAATCATCGAGCAGATGACTTATGAGGAGGTACCTCTTGCCATTTTAGAACGACCGGTTCGTCCGTTAAGGATGAAAGATATTCCTTCAATGAAAGTGTTATGGAGGACCAATAAAGTGAAAGAGATGACTTGGGGAGCTTAGAAGGATGTGAGAGCTAGATATCTGCATCTCTTCACTACTCCAAGTATGTAACAGACCTTTGCTTAATGCTTATGTATACCTCAGTCAACATTCGAGGACGAATGTTCTTAAGGGGGAGATTATTACACCCCGTACTTATGTGGTGTCGTATAATGAGGAAATGACTTTCTAATCATGATTTAAATGACTTTATAGTCATAATATGACTATATATGATGTTTTGATATAGAATTTAATGGATGGAAAAAATCAAATTTAAGTTGCGGAAAAACCGAGTAAGGATTTGTCGTGTAACAAAGCTTTTTGAGAAATTAATTTCATGTGTTATATAACGTCTTTTGTGGACATATTATATACCAAATTGAAGGTTTTGGAATGTAGTTTCCAATGCTTTTGACCGTTAATTCATACAACATCCGGATAAAGAGATATGAACATCGGAAGAAGGATCGGCGAAGCACACATGTGGTTGACTTTTCAACCTTACAATTAATAGAGGACTTGGTCTTCTTTTTCCTCATTTTCCAGCAAATTCACGCACACGAGCTTGCATAGCTCTCCAAGAAGTTCCTTAGGGTTTTGAAGCAAGTCCATCATCTGCAACTCAAAATTAAGAAGCGAACAGATCAACGCGATCCTTACGGCATAGCTATACAAGCATAAGGAAGGGTTTGGACCAAAGGGAACAAGGTTTGGAAGCAAGAACACAAGAGGTATGTAGGGTTTTCGTTTCATTTTCGGCATGATTTGGTTTAGATATGTTATAGCCTTTCTTCTTGATCTTTTAAGAGTTGTTCAAGGGAAATTTTAGCATGTATTGTATCCTTGTATAGTATTCAATTCCATATGTGAAGTATGGAAGAAAATAGTTTAGGTTGGAACTTCAAAACACAACAAAAACTAAAAGGGCAAATCGCTCGTTTGGCCTATGCCATCTGGACTTCCGTTTGTTCCGTTCCTTTGATGTTTTATGTATACCTAACCCCCATATGATCCTAATTGCTACATTTAATATTATATAAGCTTAATTATCATGTTTTGATGCTTAGATTATTCCTAAATCATATTTATACTTTCATGTCACAAGTTAGCCACTATGAGCCGGCATTATGTTCATAATTTTGTTTTGTCGATCGTTTGACATTATTGTGGATAACTAGATCTCCTTTAGTTTGATGTTATCATCTTGGCTGGGTATCCATTCCCGTGAATAATGTGGTGCTTGCTATTTTTTTGGGGATCATACAGTTTTAGGGGAAACTCTGCCGAATGTTTTTGAAAGTTCGAAGAGTTGGACAAATTTTGAGTTCCTTGGTTCTAAATTGATTCTAGAGGGATCCTAATGAGTTAATTTGCCTTAGTATCTCATGTACATAGTTTCTCCCTAAAATGGATATAGGCTCCTCCGTCTAACTTATGGATGACGAGCGTCAGATTACGTTTGTGATTCCATTTATGGTTTCCTTCATGATCTCTTGAGTCCATATGTTGCTGCCACATGTTGTATGCCTCATACATGCTTACATTGATTATGTTGGGGGCATATAGCCCAGAACACCATCGAGGCCTATTGATTATAAGATTCGGGGAGATAGCCCATAACATAAGACGTGCCTATTGATTATATATTTACCTCTTGGGGTGATATAGCCCAGAAGACTAGTCAGGCATTTTATATACGCGTATATAGCTACAGTTTGCATTGCATGATTATACATGAGGCTAGTTCAGATGTATAGTTGCCTGATTGGGGGGATATAGCCCATAACGCCAGACAGGTACCAATTCAGATAGTAGTTCAGTTTCAACACAGTTTCAACTTAAACTTTGGTTCAGTTACAGATCAGTTACTAGTTTAGACTCTTGTTTTGCTTTCAGCTTACATTTGGATTTCTATCTTATAATCATACTTCAGTATGATTTACATATGCTTTCCACCCTACCTATTTTGTACATATCCTACTCATATCCCTTCGAGGGTGCTACGTTTCATACTGCGCAGTTATAGATAGATCAGAACTTGAACCACGTTAGTAGTCCATCCACCAGCTGTTGGAGTCATTCCACTTATTCCTGGAGTTACTTATCTTTTGGTATGTGTCCAGTTAGGTAGTTTGTGTATGGCGGGGCCATGTCCCGTCCAGTACTTGTTCAGTTTAGCACTCGTAGAGGCTTGTAGATATGCACTTGTGCAGTTGGTATGTTTTTATATGTCATTGTGTTAGCCTTGTCGTCTTTCCAGATTGTATTATTCTTATCAGCTATGCTTATGATTTTTCAATTTATCAGTTTATTTTCATGATTAGTTGATTATCAGCAGGTTTAGTGATGATTGGTACTTAGTGTCGGTTATCCGTCGCAGCCTAGGATGGGTCATGACAACATGTCTCTCACAAAATATGATGTGAACTACGTGCCTCGATAAAACATGATGGAAATAGCCATGCCATGCAGACGGATAATCTCCTGAATGTAAATCTGAGCCAACCGCTGCGAAGAATAGGAAGTCATCACCAGAATGAACTGTGTGGACTTAGTCAACCAATCCACAATAACCTAGACTGCGTCATATTTCCTCAATGTCCATGGTATGCCAACCACAAAATTCATAGTGATGCACTCCCACTTCCGCTGCGGTATCTCTAATCTCTGAGTCAACCTACCCACTTTCTGATGCTCGTACTTCACCTGTTGAAAGTTCAAACACCGAGAGATATAAGCACCACCCTGTTGCACCATATCCTTCGACAGTAACAAGTGAGGATCATCAAACTGGAAAGCCTTGATATGCTCCAACAACACAAGCAAGAACTCGGCTAAGCTCCGAACATCCAACCTCACAAACCGATTGGCCAAAGACTGAACATCCAACCTCACTACCCATGCTCTCAGCCTTCCTACTCAATGCATACAATATGGTGATATCATAGTCTTTCAGCAACTCTAACCATCTCCACTACCACAAATTAAGGTCCTTCTGCTTGAATAGGGGCTAGAGACTTTGATGGTCAGTATAGACCTCAGATGGAATGCCGTATAGTGCCTCCAAATCTTCAGCGTGTGAACAATGGCTGCCAACTCTAATTCATGGACATGGTAATTCTTCTCATGAACCTTGAACTAACGAGATGTGTAGGCAATCACCCAAGCGTCCTGCATCAACACTGCGTCAAGCCTAATACGTGATGCATCACAATACACGGTGTAAGATCCCGAACCTATAGGCAACATCAACACTAGGGTTGTAGTCAATGTAGTCTTGAGCTTCTAAAAGCTCGCATCATACTTGTCGGACCATCTAGGTCAATCTAGTCAAAGGAGCTCGTATGAATGAAAAACCCTCCATGAAATGGTGATAATAACTCGCCAAATCAAAGAAACTCCGGATCTCTATAGCTGAAGTAGGTCTAGGACAGTTCCGAACTGCCTCAATCTTCTTTGGATCCACCTTAATTCCCTCACTGGACACCACGTGGCCCAAGAATGCCACTGAATCAAGCTAAAATTCACACTTGGAGAATTTAGCATATAGCATCTTCTCCCTCAAGGTCTGGAGCATGATCCTCAAGTGAAGCTCATGGTCTTCCCGACTGCGAGATTATACCAATACATCATCAATGAACACGATGACGAAGGAATTAAGATATGGCCAGAACACGCTGTTCATCAAGTGCATAAAGGTTGTTGGCGCATTGGTCAGCCCAAAAGACATCACCAAAAACGCATAGTAACTATAGCTGGTCCTAAAAACCCTCTTCAAAATGTCTGAAGCCCGAATCTTTAACTGATGATATCCCGATCCCAGGTCAATCTTCGAGAATACCTTAGCACCTGAAGTTGATAAATCAAATCATCAATATGCGGTAGTGGGTACTTGTTTTTTTATAGTGACCTTATTTAGTTTCCTATAGTCAATACACATCCTCATAGAGCCGCCATTCTTCTTTACACATAGAACTGGTACACCAATGCGAGACACTCGGTTTGATGAAACCCTCATCAAGCAACTCCTGATGTTGTTCCTTTAATTCCTTCAACTCCACAGGAGAC